CCCTTTGTGCACGCAGCTTGCTAAATCCTGAGAGGACCAAGCCCAACAGGCCTTCACAGCCCTGAGCACCAGGACCTCCTGAAGTGGACACACATGTGAACTATGAACTGGGGCAGCAAGTGTGCAGAGGGCAATTTCTACAAGGTAACTCCTGTTCTTCACAGAAGGAACAGGGAAGGTTCCAGAAGGAAGTGCCTGGGCTTGGTTTTGAGGGAAACGTAGAGGCCAGAGAGATGTGTGAGCAGAAGAGGACACTTCCTGTGAAGGAAGGAACAGCTTTATGTGCTCAGGGATCTACAGGTGATGGGTGATAAGGCTAGAATCAACTGTCAGAACTGCAGAATCAAGGGTGGATAGTAAACATCCCAGCTGAATGCAACAGGGGAAATGATACCTTTTTGTTAGCAACCCACGCTGCGGCTGCCAAGCACCTCAGCAGCCTACGTTGCTCTGTTCAACACAGCACGTCCACTCCCGGCCAGGCGTGGTTTCCATTCCTAGTTTATAAGTCAGCAAACTGAGGCATGGAGTATGGTAAATAAGGGTTTGGCAGGTGTGCTCCACCTGGGCAGCAAACAGGGCAAGGGGTGAGATTCCCAAGCTCCAGAGAATGTGCTCTGGAGCAAAAGATGATCCTCTTGATAGCAGACCCACAGACGGGAGGGGTGGGAACATGAGGTTAAAGGAATTCTTCTATAAAGTGGGCCCACTGTGCTGGCCCCCACATGCTTTCTTTTCCAAGAAGCAATCTACCTACAGCCTATCTGGCTTAAGTGGACAGGCTCTGACTCATTTCTTAGCAAACTACCTGTTATCTGCCAGAGAAATGCAGGCCCAAAATAATGTTGGTAAGAGGAACCCTGAAGGGGAGACTTTTGTGACCCCCTTCCACAGACCAGATCTTGGAACTCAGGGAGATAAGGATAATTTCTCCTAACAATAAAATCTGCAAGAATTTAAGGTTGATAATCCAATCAGAACCTGTCAGCATGAGCCAAAGGGACCTAGAATTGGCATGGCAGTGGGGACTTGAAAGTCCGTCATTCTGCTGTCAGTCAAAGGTCAAGAGGTAGACCTGGAAACTTCTCTGGGATCCCCAATAAAACCACAGTGTCAGGAGAGGCCCACTGTCCCTCTCGTCTCTTTAATAAACTCATTCCTGTTACTCTGAGTGACATGTCTAAAATCTTTCTGGCTTGATAGCAAGAATCAGGGTTAGAGGGGGCCTTCATGCTGCCCCAGCTTCCTGGAAAGTCCCAGCCCTGTAACCCTCTCGGCATCCTCTTATGACAGGAAGTCATTTGACTCCTGATGGCAGTGAGCTCTCTCTTAGCCCTGGACCCTGTAGAATGAGCCACACAGTCTGATCCACCAAGGGCCACTCTAGGTCCTACTGAGAACAAGAGGTGGTCTCCCTGAGAAGCGGAGGGAGGCCTTTCCGCTGAGAGGCCTCAGCCGGTGGAGGCAGGAAGTCTGATTTCCAACACTGAGATCCAGGCTGACCTTCTGGAAGGTGAGGAGGGGAGGACCAGTCCCTCTTCTGGATCACTATCCCCTGCAAAGGACCTCTGTGGTCAGAAGCCCCAGTTTCTTCTGAACCTAAGGCCGGGTGTCACAGCTGGGTAGGACGCCCCACTGCACTGGGGGATCTTGGATCCACACCATGGCACGTCTGCCCCCAAGTGATCACAGTCGTGCATATGTCCAGGTGGACGCAGGGGTCTGGGTGTCTGAGTTCTGTGTCTGTGTCAATCCATCAAGGTATCTTTCAGCTCCTTTTCCCCACCTTTCAGGTGAGTGAATTGGTAGGAGCCTCTAGGCTAGTTAGTCACTTGTCATTCAGAATCTTTTCAAAATGAAAACCAGAGTTTGCTCACCAACTTGTCACCTACCAACTTTATAAATTAAGTCATGTTATGCATGAACCACTTCCAGGGCCACCTAGTCACAAAGGGGAAGGTGGGTGTTAACTTGGGTTAATTTACATGCTTTAGCATTAAAATGACAGGTTTACAGGCCCCCTTCCTGCCCCTCCTCCCCTACAGCCCCCAGGCCTCCACGTGCAATTCTGGCCAAAGAGTATCCAATTTATTCTTTCTGTGGAGTTTCTGCTTACTAAACCCCAGGCCCCTCAGTGAGAGGGGCACTCTGTAACAGTGTCCACTTGATGCTTTCAGTCAGCCCTTGCTGCTCTGCCACTGCAACTTATTTTTTAAATGGACCTGCTTCTTTCTCTTCCTCTCTCCCTGTTCCTCCCTAATCTCTCCCCTGTTCTAAAGGCGGCTGTGTCCAGGAGCTGGGTGTGCGTACTGCACCTCTCTGGTTACAAGGCTGTGACCAGTTCCCAGGAAGATGACTTGTATCTATTTGTTTCTCCTAGTCTTCAGCTTGTCTTCTTCCAACTCAGACATGGGGGCTATTGCCCTAGTAAAAATCTATTGTTTTAAAGATGCTAATTACCAAGATTTAAAAGAATCAAATGCAACATCCAGGTCAATGGGATGGTGAGGTATCTAACAGTTTACATACTGCATCATGTAGCTCAAAGTTTCCATATCCTGGTAAGCAATCTAATGTCTAAGGACTTACTCTAGAGGTGATAGTAATTAATCTCTTAAATTGTTAAAGGGATCATCTAAAACTATATTCAGTAAATCACAACCTGGAGTTTGTAACAATTCAAGTGAAAAACAAATGTGGCCAATTATTACACTATAAGAGTTGTTGTTATCCACCCACAGCATGGCAATCTGCGGTTCTGGCCCAAGCCTGGCCCCTGCCGGTTTTGGTAAAGGTTATAAAGCTAAAAATGGCTGGAAAAATCTAAAGAAAAGTTTCATTTCATGAAATGTGCAAAGAACATGACATTCAAATTTCAGTGCTTATAAGCAAAGTTTTAATGGAACACGGACCTGCTAGTTGTTTCTTTTTTTTTTTTTTTGGCACTGGGGATTGAACTCAGGGCATGTGACCACTGAGCAACATCCCCAGCCCTATTTTATATTTTATTTAGAGACAGGGTCTCACTGAGTTGCTTAGTGCCTCACTGAGTTGCTTAGTGCCTCGCTGAGTTGCTGAGGCTGGCTTTGAACTTGCAATCTATGTGCCTCAGCCTCCTGAGCGCCCAGCAGCACCATGTCTGGCACCTGCTTGTTCTTTTAAACCTCTTGTCTGTCTTTCCTTCCTTTTCCTTCTCCCCTCCCTTCCCCTCCTTCATTTGGTGCTATTCACAGTGGCTAATTAAAACCAAACGAACAAACAATGGAAATGTTTTTTGGATGAAAACCAGGGCAGGGCCTCTAACTACTCCCCTGAGAGGTGCCAGCCCCACACCTCCAACTGCTCTCTAGGAGGACAAGATCCAGGGAATAGCACTAGACACTCCAGAGGATTCAGACATGGAGTGTCTCCCTCCCGCCCTCCCTCCCTCCCTCTCTTTCTTTCTTGGTTTAAACCAGAGACACTCTACCACTGAACTATGTCCCTGACCCTTTTTATTTTTTTATTTTGAGACAAGTCTCATCAGGTTGCTTAGAGCCTTGCTAAGTTGCTGAGGCTGGCCTTGAACTTGTGATCCTCCTGCTACAGTGTCCTGGTAGCTGGGATAGCAGGCATGTGCCGACACCCATCTCTGTTACATCTTGTCTGGGCTGCTTTCCTACTATGACCACCTCCTGAAAGCCTAAAATACAAACTCACCCTTTCCAGCAGAAGTTTGCCAGACCTACTAGAGCTTTTACAAGGTGGTCGTAGTTCCTGTTCTCAGCCACTAGGTGGAAGAAGAGCTCCTTAACTAGCAGGAAGAATGAAACCCAAACTGGCTGCTATCCAGAGGATACTTAGGCTCCCAGTTAAGTCATCCCCAAAGTCAGCCCTTTCAACAGTGCAGAACTGTTTTTCAACATGTATACAATAAACCAGAAACTAAAGAAGCTCAAGGATCCATTAGTACAGAACTAAATTCTGTACTGAAATCAGACATTTATTTATTCCTGCCTGCCAAAAATAAATATCACATACCTGCCTCATGAAGAGACTCTGCAAGGGCCCTCTGTGGCCTGCTCCTATCACCTGGGGGACTGTGACATAATCGATTGTGCGACCTGGATTTAGAGCTAGCTGTGCCTGTGTCCTGGGCACTAACTTTAATTTTAACTGAGTTTAAGTGATTTTAGGATTTGATTGATGCCTGTTAGCAGCACTGTTCAGGTACAGCATCAGGACCCTCCATCCCTAAGTGCCCACCAGCTCCCACAGCAATGGCATGCACTCTGTGCTCATAATACCGTCACTGCCATCACACACCTGAAACGTGGGCAGTAACTCCCAGCTTGTCCTCTAACACCCACCCAAGGTCCACCCCCAGCCCACAATGCCTTGAGGCTTGATGTCCTAGGATATGAGAGATGAGCATCCCTCCTGTCTGTGGGGTCTTTATCTCTCCTCTCCTCTCCTCCTGCTCTCTCCACACACCTTTCTGTGCCGAGGCTGACTTTTGAAGACACCAGACCACTCCCCTGGGGCACCCACAGGCTGGGTTCTCTGACTGGTTTTTATGGTGGAGCCACTGGAACTGTTTCCCTCCTTTGCATGCCTGTGCTGTCGCGTGGGGTCTGAAGGCTGGGGCCGCGGGTGCTGGGGACCCACGTTCTGCACCACCCTGGAGATGGGAGAGCCATGGCTCTCTTGTCTTTAGTAATGTTGGTCTTTATCAACTGGCAGCCAAAGTGCTGACTGTGTTCATCAATTGTGATTTTTTCCTTTGCAATTAGCAAGCAAGCAGCAATGTCACCCTGAGTCATTGTGCGAGCACCTGCCATCCCAGCACTGTATTGTCCAATAAAATTAAAGCGCCTGACTGTTTCTGCACCCCATCAAATCTCTGCTTGACACACCAGTCGGCCTCATTCGGAAGAACCCTTAGAAATTCACAGAGCCCAACCACCATCACAGGGTGGACAGGGTGCTCTCTCCCATAGGTTCCCAGCAGTGCCTCTCACCTTGCATAGTAGTCATTGGGTGGAACGGCTTCTTGAAAGAACTGGAACTGATATAAATAAAGTCCAATCAGGTGCCCAGCAGTGAAAATCGCCAGCAGGACACAGAGGCAGCTGAACAGCAACGGGTCGAACGTCCGGCACCAGGACCACCAGGTGCACAGACCCAGAAATACAAAGAAATAGACAGCCGAGGTCAAAGACGGCAGCATCATACCTGGGGAGAGGAAGACGGTCAGGAACAGCAGGGCTGGAGAGCACAGTGGGGCAGCAAACCCTCTTTCCCTTCCCCTGCCCTTAGCCAGGGACCCGATTTAGAGAGGTTACTCATGCTTAATTAACATAACCAGAAGAGGTGCTCTATTTACCATGAAGAGATCACCCTCAAGGGGTAGTTTTTAAAAGCAGGGAAAGACCAGAGGATGGAGAAGACCTCCCTGCAGCATTTCAGGCCAGTGAGCATCTTCTTCACACCAACAGAATTAACCTGCATATTTACTTGCTTGCTTCTCTGTTCCCATTGTTTCCAAATGTTGGGGGCACTCATGTCTGTCCATCCAACTTTCCCAACACCATTTTATTTGCTTTATTGTTAAGTTAACTAAGATCTGACCTCTGGTGGCAGCTCACGTCTCACTAAAACTTGGTCCAGCCACCAGGATTTGGAGTTTCTTGTCCGTAAGGGGGGCGGGGAAGACCAGGCAGCTGTGTTCAACACAATTTATTGGGCATTGTGAAAGGAGTGCTCACTAAGGTGCTGGATTTGATTTTTTTTTTTGAGAAACTCTACTTTCTTTTTCTATCTTTTTTTTTCCCTACTAAAACTTAAGTACTCCATTTTCGACGTTCCCTCTGGAAAGTGTGGGTGCAGGCACTGTGGCAAGCTCCCTGGGCTGGTGGGTGGGATGGGAGGAGGGAGAAGACGGAGATAACATCATCATGGAATAAGCCCGCTACGGCCAAAATTGAAAGGAAGTGAGTCTCTTCTGGAAGATTACCATCTAGCTTCCGAAGAAAAATAGTGTATCCTGAGAGTTAAATTAAGATTTCAAATGACTCCGTCCAGAGACATGCGAGGAGGCACAAGGGTGGCTGCCGGGGTCCCCTCAGATGGTCAGGGCAGCAGATCACCCTCAGAGCAAGAGGAATGGTGTTATTCTGACCTCCACCCAGAAAATGAGGTCACTCAGATATGGAAAAGGGTATTAACAGGGCTATTAACGGGTGTATTGTCGGGACCCCTCACAAGGTCAGGACCAGAACCACAGAGAACACAACTTTCTCCTGTGGCCCGTCCGCATGCTGGGTTCCCAGGCCTGACAGTTATTAGTGTCGACTGGCTCCTGCGACACCTGCCTCCACCCGCAATGCACCGCCTCCTCCCGCAATGCACCGCCTCCTCCCGCAATGCACCGCCTCCTCCCGCAATGCACCGCCTCCTCCCGCAACGCACCGCCTCCTCCACAGCGCCCTGGGCAGCGCAGTCAGGACTCACTCACCGGAGGACCCCAGCAGCACGGTGACTACGACCTTGCCGGCGGTGGTTATCATGTTGCCGATGAACTCCTTGAGTTTGGAGGCCACAGAGGCCACCCTGCGGAACATCTTCAGCTTGGCGCTTTCCTCCAGCTCGCCCTCCGCGCCGTCCCCGTCTGCGTCCGCGTCCATCAGGGCATCTTCTGAGTCCGCCTTTTCCCCAGCAGCCTAAAGAAATGACACAGAAGCTGTTGCAGGCCAGGCCAGATGCCGAGAGGCTCCTGCTGCAAGGGGCAGTGAGTGAGGTCATTTCCCAAGTCGGCAACACCGCGCGCGTCACCCGGTGGCCCAGGCATGGTGGTGACCCATGCCACTGTGGCCTTTCCTGAGGAGGTGAGCGGAAAGATCGCCAGCAGGACCCAGGGGCAGCTGAACAGCAATGATGCTCCATCAGGTCCCCAGACAGGCTCTGCCAATGCTGCTCACTGGGTGTGCCCTCGGGGTGCTCCAGGGTTGAGCAGGCCACCTACCCTTCACACCAGAGGTGGCCCCCCAGGGCTCAGGGCGTCCCTTCACTTTCTGAAGTCCACGTCCGTTGGCTATTTCGGGACTTCCGGGGCGTGGGCTCGGGCTACTTGGCTAAGTGCACAGTTGCCCCTCTCTTGAGACCAACTCCCGGATCTACCCTGGACAATTGAGCCCCTCAGGAAACACTCCCTCCAGAACACACAGGTGCTCTTTCCACTGGGGATGCAAACCCGGTTTGCTTGTCTTATTTTAAAAGATAAAATAGGTTTTTTTTTCCTCATCCATACAAGACTCATACACACAGCCATCACCCTGAGACCAGAGGACTCTGAGATCATGAGACTATTTGCATTTGTCTCTAGGTCGACAGACTTCACAGCTTTGGCTGGGCCAGGCGCTCTGAGCTAGTCAGCTCCAGGTCAGCCGTGAAAAGCAGAGCCTGGCCTTTCCAGTCCCAGGGTCATGGTCCTGTGTCCTGATGATGCTGGTGAGGGGGCCGTCTGTCTGCCTGAGCTCACTGGGGTCGGGGAGGTAGGATAGGACTGCTGCCAAGCTGGAGGAAGTTGAGGCCTCAAGGACACAGAGATGGAGGCCAGGGAAGAGAGACAGCCCCTCTCTACACCCACACGTACACATGCACATGCACATGCACACGCATGTGCATCCACCCACCCATAGCAGGGCTGTGTGGGCCCCTCGAGCCCCTGGGCATGGAGGACCCTGCTCTGCCATCACAGCGTGAGGCCAGTCCTAGGGCTGTGCAGCCACACCCTCAGCTGAGTGCAGATCGGACATGGGAAACAGTCATGTCTGTGCTAGATGCACGCAGACACTTCCCTGTCGTCATTCCCTAAACGACGAAGCACCACAGATCTTTACATGGCATTTGTATATACTTTTTGAGGCAAAAAGAATGTCTCATGCTTCCAACGTTTTTATCCACACAATGCCCGGTGTGTCCGAATCACTCTAGTAAAAGACACAGCAGGGACTGTGTGGCCACGTAAATGATGAGCAATCTAAATATCTCCAGTAAGGAATCAAATAGGGAAGGACTGACGGAAAGGGTGGCTCCATTAGATCTGAGATCAGGGAGACTCTCTTAGAGGAGGTGACATGTCACGAGGTCAAGTCCCAGGAAAGAGCACTCTGGGCAGAGGGAAGAGCTGGCCCGAGGCTCTGGGATGTGCTCAGAGGGAAGGCAGGTGGTCTGGCCATGCCCTCTTCTGCACCCTTAAAGGACTGCCATCAGGTGTTCAGCCTTCCGGTTCTCAGAGGATGAACTTGTCCTCTACTTTACTGAGGGAAGATTACCAAACTGCCTCAAGCCCATCAAAAAGCTTTCCTGAGGCCTGTCTGCAAGCCATGCAGTCTGCCTTCCTCCTGTAGCAATGCAAGCTGCAAGTGCTCCAGCAAACTTGACTGGATTTCACCTGCTCGGGACAGCAGGAAGAGGAATGGCTCAGCCACTCCTCCTGTGTCCCGCTTCACAACACACTCCATTTCTCTCTGATGACCCCCATCAACAAACAAACATGTTTCACTATCTAATCTTAGAGGAGAACCAGCCTTTGCCTCCCAAAGGGAATCTCTTCAAAAAGTTTAAGACCCTATTCCAGTTCCCCATGCAATTCTGATGTGCATGCACTTGAGCTGCTGGGGAATAAGCAGAGGGGAGACAGAGCTGGCAGCCCATGGCTGTGGTCAGGGGAGGAGGGAAGGGTGTGTCTGTGGCACAGGTGTTAGAGGTCCAGTCGGCAGGAGTAGCAGTGACTCTGCCATGGGGGTCAGAGAGACGGGCGGGGGGACAAAGGTTGTTCCTATGCTTGTCTTTATTGGTGGCAGAGGATGGGGAAGCAGGCTGGAGGCTTGGAGGCAACACCCCAGATCCCTCCAGGTGCTCTGATGGCAGAGTCCAGCAGGCATTCAGAGCAGCAGCTGGCAGCATTTGGGGCAGCAGGCACTGCAGAGGCCTGTTTGGGACTCCCTGGAGGGTGAGTGGGTCTTATGTGGGGCTCTGATAGTCCCTGAGGACAGAGATGGTCACCTCTCTGCTGCTGCCCGCCTGCAGCCCCTCCCTTGGCCTCAGCATCAAGGCAGGGACCCCTGGGGAACAGAACCCAGTGGTTCTCCTTGCTTGCCCACACGCCGTGGCTGGTATCCTTGATTAGCTGCAGGCCCAGCCTCAGGCCCCTTCCTGTCGGCCTACTCCAGCTCCTGGAGGACAGGAAGACCAGGGTCCTCCTCCAGCACAGCCCTTGAGGCCACCTCAGTTCACCCTGGCACAGGCGGGCATCCGCGGCCTACCCTCCTTACTCTCAGTGAGTGGGCACGAAAACCATCCATCCAGGAAGGAGCTCGGCCCATGCCTTTACACTGCACTGAAGGAGGGGATGGCTGTGAGGCCTGCCTGGGACACAGAAATGCACCGGTGACGATCGTGACAGATGACTTACTATTCAATTATGCAATGGCTGCGGATGTAGATTAAATCAAATGGCAATGTGCTCCGGCAGCCTTTCCGAGCTTGTACAAACGGCTCCCCTGACCTCACCAGGAAGGACAGCTGCTGGCTGTCATAAACACACTGCTGCACGTGAGGCCCTGCAGCATTTTACACCAGAACCCCTGGGGCCCTCGGCTGGTAATGCTTTCTGAGTAAGGGAGGTGGGGTGGGCTGCAAACCCACTGGCCGGGCTGGCAGGGCTGGCTCCTGAGAGGCAGGCTTGTCCCCTTGGTCATCTGCTGCAGCCTAGGCAGGGCCAGCAGGGCAGGGCTCCCTCTGGATTGTTTACCAACAGGCAGAGTCCAGCTTGCACCTGGCCTGGGAGCTGAGAGAGCTGCAGTTGTAAACAGCCCCCCAGCCCCTGGTTCCGGGGTGTCTGGGCGAAGACAAAGTGAGCCCTCCAGGGCATAACAAGCCACTGAAACGTCCCACGGAATCACTGTCCATGTTAAAACCTAAGGCGCATTCAAAGACATTTTAGTCCTTTACCTCCCTCTTTAAAAGATGCTGATTCCCACAGGAAATCCTGACACCTACAAGGAGGGACCCAGGGAGCTGAGGCCAAGTGAAGTGAACCAGGCTGGGAAGACAGACCCGCTTCCACGCCCACGGGGCCTGAACCTGCAAGAGCAGGGCCAAGGCAGAGCTGGGCTTCGGGGTGGGGGTGGGTGGCAAGGGGCCAGGGTCAGGTGCAGGGACGGCTCTGTTGACCTCCCGCAGGGTCTGCTGACCAGGTGAAGAGCAGGTGCTCTCCCAGATCGGTGAAAGGGATTTTAAATGCTCACAACACAGAGAAATAGCAGGCATTCGAGGAAATCAATGTGCTGAGGACCCTGAGTTGGTCATTCTACGTGTCTACAGGAACCCAAACAGCACAGTGCACCATGAATACGCAACTAGTGTCTGTCCATTCAAATACAGCAAAGAACTGAGGTGATTGTGAACGGTAGCAGCCTCAGAATCACCCATGCCCTGAATTCACCCTCAGAATTTCTGATTTAGTAAGTCCAAGGTTGAACCTGGCAGCCTGACCTCCTGGTGGTCCCCAGATGATCCTCAGGGTTTATTCCAACCCAGACTGAAGGCGTGGTCCCACAGGCAGCTTCTGTCTTCTCTGTGTGGAGCTGATTAGAAGCCCTGGGACTGGGCTGTGGTGGGTGGGCAGCCTCCTGGGGTGAGAGGTGTCTAGTTCTTGTCTTGGTGCACAGAACATGGTACCCCACAGAGCTGTAGCCTCCACACGTGGAGCCCCTACATGTGGTAGGCACTGGCGCTGGGGTGTGGCTTCAGCACTGGGTCCCACTGGGGTGGCGCAATGCCAAGGTATTCTGCTGGAGTCACATCTCTGCAGACCCCTTTCTTTGGAAAAGATATTGAGGACATTTCTCTTTGGAAACTTGTTGGGGTCCAGTCAAGCTCAGACCTCAGACCAGAGCTTTTGGGCAATGGAATCTTGTTCCTATTATTTTTGGTGAGGAAATCAGTTTTTAAAACACTTCCACAGGAATTTATTGAAGTCACACCCAGGAGTCTGAAGTCCGAGGCAAAGGGAGTGTGTTTCTGCAGTGTCACTAGTTTTTCATGCAGTGTGCCTTGTGACATGTTGACAACTGATCTTACAGAGAGCCTGAGGCAGGGAGCAAACATGCTGTAAGGGACAAGCTTTGTCTCCAGCATCCCCTAGAGGTGAGAAGGCAAAGGAGGAAGTGGACTGGTGTGGGCTATCCCGAATGTCACCAAGCCTAATGTGAGGGCTTAGGAAGACTGGCTTCAGGAAGATTGTTCTCCAAAATCACAATAGCAATTTAAAGCGCTCCCAGGGAGCGTGTGGATGTGTGGGTTCCCACCGCCCGGAGGGCAATGGGCTTAACAACAGGCTGGGGGCCAGGAACCAGGCAGGACAGCACAGGGGACCTGGCAGTGCCAGCACAAATGGCCTCTCCCTGGGCTTGTTCTGGCCCTGTGCGGGAACGTCTAAAAACTCCCCAGTTAGGTGGCCAAGTAAGAAGGCACCTGTCCTTAGGAGTCATCTGAACATCATGTGAGAAGCAAATGAACAGCAAAGGAGACCAGCCAAGTGACAGTGACCATTCACGTTAAAGGGGTTTTGCTTTGAGATTTAAAAAGAAAATCACCTAATAGAAAAGCATAAAACCAAAGCAGCATTCACACATGCACACACATGCACACACAATGCACACATGCACACACGCACATGCATGCAAACATGCACATACACACACACACATTCGCCCATAATGTGCAGACACACAAAAATGCACACAGACATACACATGCACACATGCACCCACATGAACACACAATGCGCACACATGGACATGAGCACACACTACATATAATGCACACACATGCACACACATACAGACAGTGCACACACATGCACAGACTCATACACACTGTACACACAATGCACACACATGCACACATAATACATACACATGCACACATGAATATGAGCACACACATGCACACTCATGGTGTGCTAGCCCTGTGCTACCATTTCTTTCCTAGGAAACAGCTAAATTTGACTCTTCTAGACAACATGCCTGGTACTTGCTCTAGGAGTGGGGAGCACAAGACTGGCTGGTGCTCCAAAGCTTCCTGAAAGACACAGGACCCATGGGATTACTTGTGATGGATCAAGATGCAAAGAAAACCAACCTCTCTAAGTCTCTGTTATGAAGGTGTCAAAGGGGGCTGGGGATGTGGCTCCGTGGTGGAGTCTTTGCCTGGACCCTCAAGCCCCAGCAACGCAATACAAACAAACAAAAAGTCCCAAGACAACAATGACAAACTGAGGTGAAAGGTTGAGCAGAGCAGGGATCAGCAGCAGCCTGACTGCCTTCCCCATCCATCCCGCCATCCAGCACCTGCTCCCGAGCCCGGCTCTGCTCCAGGCCCAGTGCTGGGTCCAAGGGGAAGACAAAGAATTCTTCATGGCACATCCATTGCTCAGGGATGCCAGTATATTAGCTTTATAAAATGCAAATGTCAGGTCCTTAGCCCACCTGACTGCAGGAATTTTGGATGCCCTGTTCCAATCATTCCTAAGATGGATGGGATTATTAACTGATAAGGAAGAAAAATATTATTGGTAAGCAAAGCAAAGCAAAAAGGAGAAAAGAAAAAAACAAACAAAGACCACATGATCCCCCCCCAAAACAACAACAAAACACCAAAACCAAAAACTAACTGCTGTTAGATATTTAGACCAACTGGTGCACAGTAGGACCTCAGAGAAAAGGAACGGAGTAAGTTAAAAGTATCCTTATGTAACAAGCACCTCTTCTTCAGGCCCAGTGAGGACAGACTGGCCCGGGGGTGGTTTGGTGGCTTCACTCTGGCTCCATGGAGACTTCTGGGGTTGGGGACACTCACCCCTGCAGCCGTGCTGCCCGAGGCTTGCCCTCCTGTGCTGCCTTTGGTTTTCTGCATGGACTGCCCTGTGCACCCATGACATTCAGTCAGTGCCCAAAGAGTGCACAGGCACCACCAGGCTCGTGGTCCTCAGGATCCTGCCATATCCTGGGCTACAACAGAGGTCCAGACAGGCAGAGCCTTGCCCTCCTGGAGCCTGTGGCCACTGAGGGAAACCAGAAATGAGTAACAGAGCAACTCAGGCGAGCACTACAGGCTGTGATCACGAACACGCAGGACCTACCCAGGAAGCCCACTTTGGAAGGTGGCTGGGGCAGGCCTCATGGGGGAGGGAAGAGGGGGAGGAAGGGTCCTGTCTGCATGGTCGGGGAGGGAGAGGGCAAGACATGGGCAGGCCCTGCAAAGCCATGTTGGGATCAGGAGCCTGCGTTTTATTCTGGTTTAGTGGAAATCCAAAGAAATATCTTCTCCATGATTTCATCCTCAGCTTTATAGGAACAGCTGCTGTGTGTCGTCTCCACGGATGGGGTGAGAACAGAAGCTGCAGCGGGACCCCCATCTGGAGGTTCTTCTGGGTCTAGTTGAGAGCTGGTGGCTGCTGGCGGCAACTATGGCAGTGGGGACCCTGAGTGCAGACAGCACTTGGAGGTGGAGACAAAGGATTTGCTGATGTGATGGACAAGGGGCCCGGGGAAGCCAGGGTTATATCAGGTGTCTGGCTCTGGTGACTGGGTAGACAGGGCTCATGTTAACCTTGATGGGGTCATTGGTGGGCAGAATGTTAACACCTTAAGAGAGCAAATCCACAGAGACCCATGAGTCTTCCTCGGGGATTAGTTGCTACTTTAATGGATGCTGCACTTGAGAAGAATTCTCCCTGGCACCAGGAGATGGACTTAGCCATTTCTCCATCGAGATAAATGAAAGAAGCAGCAATGCCAGCAAACACTAGTCTTTTGGTATCCTCAAAACCCAAACATTCTGGAGAGCAAAAGCCAAGATTTATAAGCAGCAGGAAGTACGTTGGGCCCTTCAAAAATAAAATAAATTCAGCTGCAGATTTTGGCTGTGTGATCCTGTTCCTTTCAGACTGAAGCCCAGATTGCCAAAGTAAGAAATCTTTCCTTGTAGACTGAACTTGGAGGCTTCACCCACCACCCTCTTCCTCCTGGGATCCCTGCGGATGGAAGATGCTAAGAGAATGGACCTTAATATGTTAAATCAACCAAGAAGGGAAACAACCTGACCATCACGTTTAGCATTTTCAAAGCCTGGAATGAGATACTTAGAGAATTTATATCATTATCTTTAAATTACAGAGTTCACGATTTGTAAGGCTTAGAAACTTATACGAATTTCAGATGGCACAGAGCTCCCACTAGTCTAAACACGAAAAGGAAGTGTCCTGGAGAAAGAGGCATGATTTTAGAACTGGTGCCCGTGATCACACTTTCCCAGCTGTCAGACCCTGACCATCAGACACAGGCTCTTTTCATGAGAACCTCCGCCGTCTGTTCACGTTTATCTGTCACGAGTGGCGAGAAGGGGTTCTCTGGGAGAGAAACACAAACACACTATCCAACATAAGTGTCTAGAATTCTGAGAGGACCCTGGCTTTGAAATTGCTCCCCCTCAAGCTGGAGAAGGGCGTGGAAGGGAGGAAGAAGCAACTTATGAGCAGGCACCCAGGCATCGCGTGGATTTTATGTTTACTTTGTACTCACGACTGCTATGTGATGCATCACTACTAATTCCTTGGGGGTTTTGTTTTGTTTTGTTTTGTTTGGTGCAGGGGATTTATCCCTAGGCCTCGTGCATGCTAAGCGCATGCTCACCTCTGAGCTGCGTCTCTGACCTATTAACTCAATCTAGTGAAGAGTGTGGACAGTCTTCCCAACCACACAGCGTTCGCTTCCATCTCTGACTTCAAAGTCCACCCAGTTGTCAGTAGTTATCCTCTACCTCCGTCCACAATAAGAGGATAATTGAAAAACAGTCTCACCTTATAAATAATAATGATGTAAATGTCATGAGCTTACAAAACTTGAGCTAATTAATGGGTTTCCATCCACAACACATGGGACAAATTTTGGTAATGATTATTTAAGCAGTATCTTTTCAAAACTCTAAATATCATAAAATAAAACTAGGATATGAATTAGAATATGAAAGCAGATACTCAAAATTTAAATTCCCTGTCGTAAAACTGTGAGGTGAACAAGAAGAAAAATAATGTCCACAGTTTTATCTGTTTTCAGGGCTGTAGCCTCGAATGCAAAACGCTGCTAGCAGCAGCTCGGCTGACACTGTTTCCTGCACCCTGTGCCCTTCTTGCCTTTGAAGGGGGAACGGGACGCGCGGTGTGAAGGCACATCTCCCACCGCAGGGCGCTGGGGCGACAGCTGCATTCTGGTCGGCCTCCTTTGAGGCACAGAGGTGACCATTCTCAACATTAGTAAGTCCAGCTTTACAAGTTCAACTGAAAACATTTGGTAGCTGTATCTTGGGTCAAATGTCCAAATCAAATATATTTGAGTGACTTTTAAATTCGTAAATCTCGTCTTTCCGTTACTAAATGAATGACTTTTGACATTGATGCCACCTGAACCTGCAGAGCCGAGGCAGTCATCAGGAGCGCCTGCTGGAGCAGGTCAGGGGACAGCACGAGAGGTGGCTGACAGACTCCTGCACACCTCCTGGTCCGGGAGCAACCCCCCAGCCCTGGGCACTAGCTGAGCACTTACAGTTCATTCTTTATCTCTACCTTATCTTTTTTTTCAATTCCCATGCTTCTCTAAACTTATCTTTTCTCCCCTCCAGAATGTTTTAAAATAATTTGACCAACATGCTGCGTCAACATAACTGTCTTGGAGGGTAAGGTGCGAAGTTTCCCCTCAAGGAGGAGTGAATCTTTTCCTCCCGAAACTACCCGTGTTACTGCTTCTCCAGACACCAAGACCTTCAGACCCAGCAGCTCATAACATGTGGACCCAATGCAGCTCCATGAGGTTACCATCTGCCTTAGCGTCAGATGGCAGCTGGGGGTCTCGAGCTGGCCTTACCCATTGAGCTCCTCAGCAAGGGTGAGCACTCACATCCCCACCTGTCTCCATGTGGCTCAGCTATGGAAGACAGGTGTGCCCAGCGGGCCACCCAGGTGGCTTTGTGAGGGACTGTAAGGGCTTTGTCACGTGCTCTGTCAGTCACTGGGCTCTGCACAGGGAGTTATCACAGTGCCACGACTATCAAGGGGCAAGGCCCTGGGGCCCAGGAAGGAAGACACACATAGTCAGATTTACCAGTTCTTCATTTTCAAACTCCAGGTTATATTGTGCTGCTTCTTCTGTCACTGGTTTCTGTACGATGTTTCTGCAGACGAGCCAGATAGTCAGGCTGGCGATGAACATCCCGATGTCAGGCACGAACACGCGGATCCCATTGCCAGCGTCGGCTCCCTTCAAGCTAGGGAGGGAAGAAAGGGAGGAAGTTTAGTCGTTTCCTTATTTGTATGGTTGACCATCTTACAATACATCCCAGTACTCTCAATGATTCAAGATAAAACATGCTGTTTCTGCCTAGGAGGTATCAGAAGGCTTTTCATTGATCTCAGGATCTTATACAAATCTAAGGTTCAGGGGTAGTCCAGCATTTTACAGGAGTTTCAGAAATACTTTGGAGAACTCTAAGCAATGATCACTTCTAAAACATGCTAATGAACATATTTTAGTAAATAAACCACATATCCGGTCCAAATGCAGCTGTCTGCAATTTGGCTAAAGCAGTTAAAAACTGAAGATATATTGGCAGCTAGAAGGTATTTTATTATAAATGTAGGTGAAAGCTAGACGAGAAAGCAGAGGAAATGTCAACACTCTTTTCAGGTCTGGGACCTCTTCATTATTTTGCATACTGGGTTGATCTGTCTCCCATTCAGTTCCACAGAAATTGATCCACCCAGTTTCTTCTCTGATGTTAGGAGGAGAAATGCTGAACCGAGAATTGGAAGACTGGGGTTGTGGCCAGTGGACACTGAGTGTCTGTCTGCCTTCCTTGCGCCGTCCAGTGAAATAAGTCACCAGCTCATGCCTTTAAGAGAGGTGAATGCTTACGTATGCAAAGCGAATATGGAAAGTCACAGCAAAATATGACATGCATTTCCACCGACACCAAGGCGTTGAGAAGAGCAGTATTACTGACCTTCAGATCACTTTCAGACTTGGCATCTGCTGTTATGAGATCTGGAAACAAATGTGGAGCAGTGGGCTGCACCAGGCAGAGGGCAAGGAGGGGCCTCCACTGGACGGGGAGGAGGGCTCCAAGGGAAGGAAATCCAGACGCTGCCTGTGACCCGAGGCTTCTGTGACCCTAGGCATGTCCTGGCACAGAGGCCCAACAGGCACCACCTCCACCCAACTATGCTGGCAGAGCTCCCCGTGCTGTGAGCATGGGTCCCCAGAACTCACAGCCACGGCCCGCGACAGGCCAGCCAGCTCCCTGCAGCTGTGCTCCTCCATCACCCACAGGGCTGCCACTGTCCTGAGCCACTGGGCACCCAGCACTGACAGGCCTGCAGGGCTAGCAGCACAGTGCTCACTGCTAAACGTGGAGAGTGGTTGCTGACATTTCCTCTGTTCACCCATGAAATAGGAAATAAACCCTGGCAAGGAAAAGCCAGTGAAGTAGCTGGTGATATGAGGGGAAGTCCTGCAGCCTTGGTCTGCAGAGTGAGCTCACAGCAGGGAAGACACAGGCCGGGCTGAGGTCTGTGCCAGTGACGGAGCTTCTGGGGGTGAGAGGAGCGCAACCTCCCAGAGACTCAAGTCTCTGGAGAAGTGTTTACCAGAGGTAAGACTTGTCCAGGGACAGGAAGGAAGAGCCAGGGACATTCATCAGGTTGGGTGTATACATACGCAGTGGGCGGGGCTTGGTCCCAGGACCCATCCTCCGACACCTGGGTCCCTCTCACAATGGCACAGGTTCCGTGTGACCTGTGTGCATCCTCCTGTGTGCCGTATGTTATCTCCAGACTGCTTATGTCACCTGATCCAGTGTCAACGTCACATGCACCCCTGCCGTCCTGTGTCGTCAGGGCATGATACCATGACAACAAGACTTGCACATGCTCAGAACATTCGCAGCTGTTTCCCAGGAGTTTACCGTCTGTGAGTGGTGGATCTGCAGATGCAGAACCTAGATAGCAGCTGACTGTGCATATCCCTATTCACCCTGTGACTGTGCACAGCATCCTTTGATGTTGTGTGTGTTGTACACTGTGATGACCCTCATCGAGAATACCATTATCATCGTTCACATCTTGGTAAAGAATGTTGATACTTTTTGGAACATGAGCCCTTCTTGTGTACCCAGAGCTTTGCACACAAATCAGCCACCGCCACACTCAGCTGGGTGGAGTTGTCCCCTCTCCGCACCTGAAGCGGCCCAGGCTCTAAGAGTCCCACAGACGGAGGACACAACTGCCCTGCCTGCAGGCTAGTGAGGCCTTCTCCTCTAGACCAGCTGCTCCCCACCTCCAGGCTGCCCACGTGCCTTGCTCAGAGGGAACAAAACCAAGTGCATCCTTGTTGTTTTGGAAGGGGTTTCACTGGTGTTTCCCCAGCATTTTTGCATCCAGGGGGGTTGTCTTGCACCAGTATGCTCAGGGTCAGAGTCCTCGCCCCACAGACTGCAGGACACAACAGTCCAGATCTAACTCAACGAAGGGCTTTCTGGTCTAGCGTCTCCTAGAAATCAATCTTCAGGACAGTCCAGCTGGCTGCTTGAATAAAAGAGGGGCTCTGCACAGTCTCGCAAAGCTCCATTTCTACAGATGGCTCCAAGCGCTTCATAAATAAACACCATGTATCAGTTTTTTTTTTAATAGCAAATTCCTTTCATTTGAGACAAGAGTTAAGAGGATCCAATTCAGAAAGCTTCATCCAAACTGAATTCATAATAATGAAATCTGATGATGGATTATGTCATAGGAAGAATGCAGACATTCATTATGCACCTTTAAAGTCGGCCTAAGGTGATCTCGCAGAGCAAATGAATTGCAGTCATTAGAATGAGATGGAAAGGGGGGGGGTCAAGGAAAGAGACTAGAGAACACAGGCCAGGCTCTGGCTGACCCTGTGGGGCTGAAGTGAGAGGCCCCTGGTGCTGCTCCCCTGGGTTTTTGGCATAGACTTTCATACCTTTCATGGAAAACAAGTTGACCAGACTTCGAAAAAGGCACCTGCCAAGCCAAGGTTGGTAGGGGGTTCTGAGAGAAAGGTCCCAGGGCTCCAGCTGTGGCCTTGGCAGCTTCCCGCACCACATCTCAGCTGCAGACGCCTAGCCTGGCCTTCCCCTCCCCGCCTGCCGATTGCATTGAGCTCCCGATTTATAGGCAATGGCTTTAAATAACTGTCTCTGCTTTGTGCTTCTTGATCCCCAAAGAGACATTTCACAGCGCACAAATGTTAAGGAGTAAATGAAGTTAGTTGCAAAAGCAACCATTCCACCCGCTGTGCCAGAGTTCAGCTCCCAGGCCCAGGGCTGGCTCGGATTCCCATTTGGAATGGAGTCTGTCAGCTGCGGAGGCGCAAAACTATGAACTGGGCTTGCTGAGTTCACCAAGCAGGGCGTCGGTAACACTGCCTCGCAGAAGAGTGTAACGAAAGTGATGCAGACTACACAGGCCATAGTCTAAGTGATGTGTCATCCAGAGGCCACATCAACAAAGTTTCCTTCTCTGTTGTTTAGACCAAGATTTAATAAAGCACCTTCTTCAGAATGTTAGTCCTCAGAAGTGCTGAGCATTAAAACAAAACCAAAAAAATCTTTGGTCAAATAGGTGTTAGAAACTCACAGTGCATGCGATCATACTAAAAGGCTTGAGCATCCCTGGGTCTAGCAATTCAGTTGGATTTATTTACACTTCTGTTTCCCAAACTTATTTGACCAAGATGTTTGTGTAAAGGACAGGTCATCTGCTGAATCCACTGGCCTCTCCTTTCCACACCTTCTCCACGCCCTGGTACCGATTTTGTGATCATGACAAAATTCACCAAGGGACAGCCATGATGGCCCTCTTTGCTCTGAACGCCTCTCAGAAATATTCTCTTCTTGCTTATCAAAAACAACGAGACAAAGGCAGCGGCCCAACACTTCTCTGCCTTGATGAGTTCAATTGTTTGAGGTTCTGCCTGTGAGAACGTGCAGCACGTGCCTTCCTGAGCCCAGCTTGTCTCATTCAGAGTAGTGTTCTCCAGTTCCATCCATGGGGTCACACAGGTTAGGATTTGCATCTTTTCCAAGACTGAATAGTATTCCGTTGTGCCTGGACACACCGTCACCTTCTCTTCCCTCCACTGAGGGACTGGGTTGACTCCCTGTCCTGCTGGGCTGAACAGAGCCACAGGGCATGGCCTTTTCCTTGCTTACTTTATCCCAGTCTACAGAAGGTATTTCACTCATTTCTCCCTCAACTAGCACAATTCCTGTAGATCTTTGTTCGAAATCCCCAACTATTTTATGCATAGCCAAGGAGCCGACTCCATCATAACCTTCAGGAAAGCGGAGCACATTCTGGAGCAGCTTCCTCCCAAAGGAAAGACAGCATCGGCCACTCTGCTCCCTGTGACAGCAGGCTCTGGGGAGGTGGGGTCACTAGGACAACACTACCAACAGCCAGACATCTCCCCCTTCCTCCACCCTGGCCATCCACACATCCCGGATGGTGCCTCTGGCTTGCATTGAAAAGCTTGAGAAAAATGAATTTCAATTAATTTTGCTGAAAAGAAAATAAGCTCCCCAGTGAGTAGCTGCAGGAGAGGGCTGCAAGTACGCTCTTCATAAACGCTGAGTCTGCAGACGGCAGGGAGTTTTCTGGATCACTACTAGAAGGTAACAAAGAAATCAGCATGGACTTTGGACTAGAAGTCCCCCCTCCCCTGACGGAGCCCCATGGTTCAGTCTTTGCTTCTGGCCTTGACCTCTGAGGAAGCAGTTTTTCCTTGCACAGGCTCTCAGCCTGGCCTCTGCACTCTTGCACAAGGCTCACAGGCAGCGCTGTGTCCCCTTCAGTGCCACATGCCACACTCATGATTCAGACCTTCCTCTCTACTCGGTGAGCTGGTGTTGCTGGCCTTCTCTGCTGGAGGCAACGTTTCCTGGTTGTATTTGCATCTTGTAGAGACTTGTAGAGACTGTCAAACCGCCTCCTACCACCCTTCAGGGACAACTGCTGACTAATTACCATGAGATAGCCGCCCAGTGGTGATCGGGTAAGGCCACCATTATTGACTGTGTTGGGCTGCAAGGGGACACTTCCCCTTGCCTCCAATTAATCAATTACTTATCTAATCACAATCAATGTGGATCCCTGAATCCCTGTTTTGTGGGGTTGTGTTTCGAACTCATTGCTGTTTATTCTGATGCTCGAGTTGCCCTCTAATAACGAGAGCCCCTTGAGGCGACTT